TTCGCCGGTCCGAGATCGCTGAGCCTACGATTTCGCACGCTTTCAATGCCAAATGCGATGAGGAAGTCGAGACGCGGAAGGCTTGGTGGACAACACTGTCGCCGGCGGCTTCCATTATAACAGCTCGGTTTCCTGTGTTTGAAGGTTTCCGCGAGGGCGCAGAGGGCAATTTGATCCCGAAGGTGCGTCTCGTGGATGATTTTAGCGATTCCGATGTGAATGCAGCTACGTGCGTCGGGGAGGCTCTCCCAGTCGACAATTTAGATTCGCTGGTGAGTCTAGCGTCTGCTTTAATCGCAGGGTGCGGCGAGCACGCTGAGATTCGCTTCCGAAAGGAAGATTTCAAGAGCGCGTTTAAGAGTTTACCTCTTCGCACGGACCACTTGCGTTTCGCAGTGGTCTCGTGGGCAGCGGCAGCAGCTGAGAACTCAGGACTGCAGTTGCTCGCGTGTCCTTTCGGGGCTTTAAGCTCGGTGCATTCTTGGCATCGTTTTGGCAGTTTTGTCCAGGCGTTCTTAGCGCAGGAGTTTTTAATTGCCACGCCCCGCTTTGTCGATGATCTGTTCTCGGCCGATCGCAAAGAAGAGCATTCGTATGAATTTGCAGGGCCGAGGGGCACTGCGAATTGCAGTCGCCAGGTGATCAAGCTTCTAGGCTGGGACTTGGATCAAAAGAAATCGGTCGACGATGCATCAAGCGCCACTGTCCTGGGAGTCTGCGCCCGCGCTTGGCCAGGCGCAATTGCATTTTGGATCGGTCGTGAGAAGCTCGAGAAGTGGATCAGTTGTATAGATGGCGCCTTAGAAGCCAATTCCCTTCGGCCAGCTGAACCCAAGCGTTTGGCAGGTCGGCTCAGCTGGGGCGGCTCGGTAGTATTCGGCCGTGGGGCCAGAGCTTATCTAGCTGCTTTGCATTGGCAAGCAAACAGCAGGAGTGCGAGGATTCCGACGCGCGTCCGGAATGCACTCCTGTGGTGGCGGCATTTTCTGGGATCCTGCCCAACGCGCGTGGTCCAGCTGCATCCACGTGAGGTGCAGCGGTGTTTCGTTTACACCGACGCCGCTGGCGATGGGAAGATTGCGTTTGTGCTTTCTCATCCGGCTATGCGCGTTTGGTCTGCTGCCGCAGTGCCCACAGTTGCAAAACGATGGGCCCGACCACGCCGTGCGCAGATCTCTCTGTGGGAATTGGTGGCGGCCGCGTGTAGTTTGCAGTTCCTCCTTGAGCGTGGGCTCAAGGATTGCGAGACCATTTTGTTCATTGACAGCAACGTCGCGCTCCATACCCTTGTCCGGGGCGCGAGCCGGCAACAGGATTACAACGAGATTGTCAATGACTTTTGGTTCACTGTAGCCGCTGCAGGCGTCCTGCTGCACGCAGTGCGCGCACCGTCAAAATTAAATTTGGCGGACGGCCCCACGAGAGATGAGTCTTTTGAGGCATCTCGTGCCGACTTCGCAAAGCGAGGTTTCCGGCAAATGCGATGGGACTGGCCAGCCCGATTGCCGTGGCACACCCACTGAACAAGGAAGGCCGTGCAATCGAGAAATGCATCGGCTGTCATCATCTCATCCATCGTTTGTGGCCTGCAATAGATTGCAGGGGTCCTTCTTTGCAGCTTCCCGCGAGCCGGCTTCACTTTCGAATTGTCAGGGCCGGCGCTGTTCAAGGATCATGTGGTGTGGTAGTGCTGCAGAGAATGATGATTGACTGCTGCTCGGCAGATTGTGCAGTGACGATTTCCGTAGCGTCTGGCTCGAAGCCGGCTTGGCTTAGCTTTTACATGAGCAGTGGTCTGCTTTCTTTATCGATGCCAGCCGGGCTGCTGCCCAAGGAACCTCGGTAGGAGACAGACGTGTGCGTCCACGTGCAGACATGGCTATCACCTCTGTTGCGCAGAGCAGCGGCAGCTTCCGGTCATTCTGGCGATTTGGAGGGATTAGAGCGGAGGTTGCTCCAGGAGGGCGCAGCGCATGCCTCTGATTTCCTCGGCCTTTCAGTCAGTGAGGCAACTGAGATTTGGACGCCGCTGCAGACTTGGAGCAAGGATTTCGTAGAAAGATTTCTCTGGGCATGTTCGCAATCGAATGTCAGTGCTACACCGTCCGCGCCACCACGGGCGCATGCCAAGCCAATTCCGGCTGCCGGTCCACCGCCGGCGAGACGAGCAGCGGCACCGGGAGATTCAGGGAAGCAGCGGAGAGCCATGGCAGCTTTGGCCTTATGCGCCGCAGCGCGGCGATCTGCACATTTGCCTCCGCCAAAGATTCTGGCCGACGCAATCAGCGCAATGGCTGCTGTCGATGCGTTGCTGCTTGCACCGCCAGCGCAAACGCCCCGGGCAGAAGCGGAACGGCGGTCTCAGAGCAGATCTGGGGAAAGTTTCGAGGAGGAAGCGATGTGGATTGAGTTCTGTGGCTGGAAGGCGAGTGCTTCGGGCTACGCTTCAGCGCTTCGCCTTTACGGACAGAATTGTATTCTACACAAGCTTGAGCCCTGGCCCCCAGCAGATGCGCAAGTGGATGCGTTTGTCGTTCTCTTTCGCAGTGCTTCTTCGCTTGGTAAATACCTTTCGCATTTGAGAACGATCTTGCGATGGATGCGTAGTCCTTTAGGGGCACTGCTCGACACAAGCCGCGTCGCTCGTGGAGCAGAGAAATCTGGAAGAGCCATTCTGTTGATGGTTTTTACTTGGACCAAGGGGCTACATATTAGCATGTACAGTCAACACGCCTCCAAGATGCAGGCGAGCGCATCGCCTTGCATCTTCTCTGTACTGCGGCTCGAGCCTCCATCTGAAGGCTCAAGCTCAAGCCAAAGCGGGCGTCCCCGCCGTGGCTCCCGCGCGCCCGCGCCCGACGCGCGCCCTCGGCTCAAAGGAGCGGCCTCTGGCCGCGCCCTCACCCGTCTTGGGTGGCCCTCAAAGGGTCTTGCATTCGGCTCGGACCTACCCCGTGCTGCTGAGAAGCGCGCCTAGGTGCGAGCCTAGACTCGCATCCGAGCGAAACGCTCGGATAGGCACCCTGCCTGGAACCAGCCGCGCGGCCCACGCCGCTGCAGCCAGCCCCTCACTGCTGGCCATGTGCTGGCCGCCGTCCCTCGACAGACGGACGATGAGGTCCGCCTTCAAGCCGCTCACTGGCAGCTTCCGCCACCTGAGCTCCTCCTTGAGCTCTGCCACGGTGGCCTCAGCCAGCATCTTCCCGAAGTACTCCGAACCGAGGTCTCGCCCTTCGGCGACCCGCTCAGGCGCAGCTATCGCCGCTGCCCGAGAAACGACATGCCCCTCAGGCGCGTCCTTCGACGCCGCCTCGGGCCTCGCCGTGCCGTCGGCCTGCGGGGCGCCCTCGCCGCTCCCGCTGGTGGGGCAGCACTCGCCGCCCTAGATGAGAAGAGCTGCACCGCCCCTCTCGTGCACACAACTGCGCCCTTGACCGCGAGCACCAGCACGATGATGAACACGATCATGGCGAGAACGATCGAGCCGATGTTCGACTCGACCTCGTCGTCAGCGGCCGTGGAGCACTGCTTGTCTCCGTGATCGGCCGCCTCCGTGAAAGTGACGCCCACGCCCGCGGCGAGCCCCTTGGTCAGAAGCCGCAGGTTGGACATCTCCAGCAACTTGAGCACCCGCTTGCCGTCCAGATGCTTGGTCCCCAAGTCGCTCCTGTTGCTCTCCGTGTCGACTCGCCCGAGCTGTAGCTCGCCGAGCCTGACTCGTTCCTGCACCCACCAAAATCAAAAGGGTCTCCAGGTATCTGTAGATGCCGTAACTTTGCACTGCCGATGTGCGCGTCGCGATCGGGGCCCTGCCTGCATTCGGTCGCGTGAACCTCTTCGTCTTCGACGCTACCTCGAGGCCACAACTGCCTGGTTATAACTGCCGCATCATGATCGCAACATCGCCGCGCCTCGCCGATGGGGCGTAGAACTCGGCTCCTCCGCTGCTGAGCGGACGACGTCTTGCCTCGAGCGATGCCACCTGGGTCTCCAGGAGGTGGCTGCCAAAGAGCCGTACATCGAAAAAAAAAGGTAGGAAAAAAAAAAAATAAAAAAAAAAAAATAAACAAAGAAGAAAGGATCGGAAAACAAAAAAAGAAAAAAAAAAAAAAGAAAAAGAAAAAAAAAAAACAAGAAAAAAATAAAAAAAAAAGAGAAAAAAGAGGAAAAAACAAAAAGACAAGAAAAACCAAATAAAAGAAAAAAGAAAAAAAACAAAAAAAAACAAAAAGCTGGTCGATTTCCTCGTGATCTCATCCTCTGCCCAGTCCGAGTCCGTCTCGTAGAGAACCGCCTTGGGCATCTCCTGCTCCTCGTAGAACCACCCGAGCTCGCGCCGACCGTGGAGATACCGCACGCACCGCCTCAGCCGGAGCATGCTGATGACTGTGGGCTTCCCCATGTCCGTGAGGATCACCTTCACCGCGAACTGGATCCAGCGCCTCCCGGACGCTCTTGCCCGTGGCCTTGCTCCCAGGCGTGTCCGCCGGCTTGCTCTCCGTAAGGCCCAGCAGCTCCACGCACCTCGTCACGTGCTTCGTGTCGCCGATCCAGACGAACCCCTTGCCCGTCCACCTGATCTTGCGCTTGAGGTATGGGAGCTCGCGAACGCCATCCGGCCCGACACGACCGATGCACTTGACGTCCATGCTCGCCATCAGCTGCTGGTCCAGGACATCCAGGGATTCCTCCTCGCCCTCGGTCAAGATGTCGTCACCGTGGATCGCCGAGGTCATGTCCAAGAGAGGCTCGTGGTACACGCCCGCCGCCACCGCGATGCGCGTCCAGTTGTTCTTCTTGAACACCCCGGCCACGTACTCCTGCCAGGCCTGTGCCGCCTTGCGCGTGCCGTACATGGCCTTCCGGAGCTGCCACACGTACCCGTCTCTCCTAAGTCCTGGAGGCGGGATGACGACGATCCACTCGTCGAGGTCGGCGTGGAATAACGCCACGTGCACGTCATGCACCGAGAGATGCCTCCGACCCTTCTTCGTCGCCGCCAAGGAGACGATCGCCCTGACGATGGCGATCGGCGGCGTGCCCGCGTTGCAGTCCTCTCGGCCGTACGTGTTGATCTCCATGGCGACGCCTCGGGAACGAACGAAGGGGGCGCCGTCCTTGGCGCGCAGGTCCTCGACCCACTTGAAACGCACCACCTTGCCCCGACTCTCGGCCACGCGGACCTCCTCGAAGACGCCGTGTCGCCGCATCTCCTCGATCTCGGCCTCGCGCCCGCGCCTGACCAGGTCCCTGGGGAGCTCCTTCCCGCTCCTCGCGTCGTACACGTGCTTCTCCGTGTCTGGCAGGACCGTGATCGCCGCCGGCTCGACGGGGCTGACCTCGAACATCCCGATCTCCAGCGGCTCGCAGCTCTCGATCTCCGTGACCGTCTCGAGCTCCTCGTGGGACTGCTGGTCCAGGCCTTCGTACGTGCAGGGATTGATCTCCACGAAGGCCCCGACTGCGAGCGACCCGACTGTGATCGCCGCTGTCTGGCGCGGCCTCTTCGCCGACGCCTCGCCCTGGTCGTCGCGAGGCGCCATGCTGGCATCTCCGGACGATCCTGGCCTGCCGTCTCCAGCCCCAGCCGCTGGCCCCGGCGCGGCTCCCGCCGCCGCCGGCGTCGGCGCAGCCCCCGCCGCTGCCGACGAGGGCGCGGCCTCCGCCGCTGCCCTGGCCATCTCCTCCTTGCGCAGCTCGTTCTCGATCCTCTTCCGGCACTCCTCGCTGTGCGATCCCATGCCTGTGACGCACCTCGGGCACATGGGGGTCCAGCCGTACTTGTCGATCAACGCCCTCGTGTTGTACGTCGACCTCAGCCCTGCGCCTCCTGGCCCCGCGGGCGGCGCCGGCCCGACCATCGCTGGTGGCACCAGCGCCTCCGGGCCCGCAGCCGGTAAGGCCACCGGCGGTGGCGGAGGTGGCGGCATCAGCCGCTGCTGGTTCGGCTCCACCTGGGGCGCTCCCGCCGGCACGATGCCGATCTGTGGAGCCCGGTGCATGTCCCACGGCACCCCAGCGAACTTGTCCAGCTCCTCCAGCACGAACCGCTCGCCCTCCGGTCGCCGTCTCACCGTGCGCACCCTCGTCGTGCGCGTTGGACCCGCCACCAGGTGCTCGTCCGAAACCTCTGTCTTGCCCAGCCACACCGCCGCGTGCCACCGAGGCTGCAGCTTGGAGGTCGGCGTGGGGTCCCTCGCCCAAACGCTCTCCGCGAAGTTGACGAGCTCGCCCCGATATGGCCTCCCCTTGAGCACCTCGTAGGTCGTCTTGCCGTTGCCGTGCACCGCGAAGCGGTTGAGCTGCCAGCCAGCGTGCCGAATGAGCCAAGGTAGAAGCCCATGATCGGCTGGGAGCTCCCGCTTGTAGTTGTCGCCCACCGAGAACAGCAGCGCCCTGATCTGCTTGCCGAGCTCCTCGTTGGCGCGCTCCACTCCACCGACTCCATGATGGTTAGCCCGCTGAGCTGACTCGATCATCGTGGGCGCCTTCCGCTGAGCCTTGATCTCCCTCGCCAGGGCCGTGATCGACGCCTCCTGGTCGTGCTTCAGCACGATGCGATCCAGCCCCCAGTTCTCAAGGGTGGCGACCGCTGTCTTGACCATGTAGGCGTCGGTACCCTTCGGCCCCATGATGCCATGAATAGCTTGGGAGTTCATGTGCACCATGTTGAGGATGCTCAGCTGGCCCAGGAAGTAGTAGTCGATCTGGACCTCGTCGCCCGTGCGCTCGTGCCCGGCCTTGTAGTGCGGGTCGTCCGTGAACTTGGATCTGACGCACACCCAGCACCAGGACCTCGCCGGAATGTGCACCAGCTCGTGCGTCCTCTGCTCGGCCAGGCTTGGCTTCACCGGATCCTTCTTGACTCGAACTGGCACGGACTCCTCGAGCACTGCCTGCGCTGCCGGCTCGCTCGCCTCGGCCTGAGCGCGGGTCGCGGCAGCCCCTCCGCCGCCGCCGCCCTGGAGCGCGGCCCTCGCCGCTGCCCTGGACGCGGCTGATGCGCCGCCGGGCTCGCCTCCTGGCTCCTCGCCCCGCACCGGCATGACGAGCGAGTTCTTGACGCCTTCACCGTACCTGTCCATCTTGAGGTAGAACAAGTCGTTGCGCCTGACCAGCGGCACGGCGTCTGGGTCCGAGAACTCGATCGGCTTCGGGATCATGTAGCTCCCGCTCGGCGTGAACACCCACGACGTGCCCTTGTCGACCGCCTGCGACACGCCCAGCGGCCTCTTGACGTCGGCGACCTTGTAGTCCACCCCGATCTTGTGCCCGTCCTTCGCGTACGTGACGAAGCGCTCGCCGTGGCACGGGATGTCGTCGCCGCTCGCTCCGACCAGCCTGATGCGCTCGCTCAGGTCTCTGAGTGTCTCGTGGGCCCCGTGACTCGGCGGGCACACCGATCGCGCAGCACCCGAATTCACCATGACCCAGTGCTCATTGATACCGATGATCTCCTTGTTCTCGAACGTCTCGTGCTCGTCTGCTGCCCCTGGCTGGCTCAGCTGCTCGATCGGGCTGGCCCCGACCAAGAATGGCTGCCTCGGCTGCTCGTGCTCGTTTGCTGCCTCTGGCTGGCTCAGCTGCTCGGTTGGGCTGGCACCGACCAAGAATGGCTGCCTCTGCTGCGCGTGCTCGTTTGACGGCCCGCTCGAACGAAGGTGGATCGCTGTCGTCGCTGGTGCTGAGGGCGTCGCTGCTGCTCCACTCGATAACGACTCTTGCCCTTCTTCCAGCTCGATCGCGAGGCACCACAGTGGCTCTGCCCCGCTTTCGGTCGCGATCGCCATCACCGGTGCCGCGCTCCCCGCGGCGCTCGCCGCTGGTGGAGCTCCCGTCGGCTTCGACTCCTGCTCGACCGCGTTGGTGCCCTTCTTCTTCTTCTTCTGCTCTGCGAGGAACTTCCTGCACTCGCTCTTGACGTGACCGGTCTTGTGGCAGTGGAAGCACCGTTTCTCGGCCCTGTCCTTGGCCGCCTGGCTCCTCTGGTCCGTGGAGTTGTCGCCGCCCTTGCCCTTCCTGCCTTTGCCTTCCTTGCCCTTCTTTCCATTGCCCTTGTCGCGCTCGCGCCTCGCCTTCTCCACCGCGCTCGTGTCCATCGGAACTGGTGGCGGCACTGCTGAGATGGCGCTCCTCGTCGAGATCACCATGTGCACCTCGTTGCGCATGAGCTCCCACGTGACCAGCCTCGACGCATTGTGGACCAGGTGCGCTCGAAGAGCTTCGTCCTGAATCCCCCGCTGAAGGATCGCCATCTTGATCCTGTCCCCAATCCTCTCGTGGCTCTGGCTCTCGTACTTCGTGACCTTGAAGTCGAAGTCCGCCAGCATCCCCGCGATGTTGTCCTCTGGGAACTGGAACGCGATCAGCTCTTGCAGCAGTCCTGCATGGCGACCGGGTCTGTCGGGCTCGTACATGTCTTGTAGTGTCCTCCAAGCCCGATACCCTTCTCCGACGCCGACTGGCTTGATGAGCTGGAGTGCAGCTCCTTCCAGCAGCAGGACGAGGATGAAGTACAGCTGACGACTGCGCTGACTCGCTCCTTCCTCCAGGAGCCTCGCGTTCCTCACCTCCTCCAGCGGGAACGTCATGGCCGCCGTCAGCTCGTTGGCCATCTGCTCGTCGAGAGCCCCGAGGTACGCGAGCATCTTGAAGCTCCACCCTGGCCGCTCGTCCTCGCTGCCTCCGAACGCCTTCGGCTTCGCTAGAAGCCGAGTGTCCACCAGATCCTGTGGCGCGGCCCTCGCCGCTGCCACGGGCCTGCTCGCGGCGGCGCCTGCGCTCGCTGCTGCTGACTCCGCCGCCAGGGCGCGCTCCTCGGCAGCCTGCACCCGTTGTTCGGCAGCCTGCAACGCTCCCTCGAGCGCCTGGAAGCGTCGCTCGATCTCTTCCATACTTCAGATCGAGCTTCTCGTCGAACTTCCTGCTCCTCAGGATGTCTGCCTTGTTCGACCTTGAGCCTCGCTTCGTCTTCTTCTTCTTCGGCGGCGTGCTGGGCTAAGAAGGGCCGGCTGGCGCGGCCCCCGCCGCTGCCAGCCGCCAGGGCGCGGCCCTCGCCGCTGCCCTATTGCTGGCGCGCGCGCGCGCCGCGGGTGGCTGGAAGGGAAGCGGCGGCGGGAACGAACCCACGCCGCTCCGCTACCATGTTGATGGTTTTTACTTGGACCAAGGGGCTACAGATTAGCATGTACAGTCAACACATTCGGCGAGTAAAAATCCGTGCGACAGCTGATCAGTCCCGTAAGTTGGCGCAATGGTGTGTCAGCAACGATCAGCAGGACATTGGTGAATCATGGGTCGTATCTCGGCACTTCTGTCTCAGATATGGTGAAACTTTGCAGTTGGGCCGTCCTCAGGCGCAAATCGTCATTGAGACCGTTGCTGGGGGAACAGAAGCTGTCCGGATAACTTTCTTCAATCGCAAATGTTTGTTTTTTTTTTTTTTTTTTTTTTTTTTTTTTTTTTTTGTTTTTTTTTTTTTTTTTTTTTTTTTTTTTTTTTTTTTTTTTTTTTTTTTTTTTTTTTTTTTTTGTTTTTTTCTTTTTTTTTTTTGTTTTTTTTTTTTTTTTTTTTTTTTTTTTTTTTTTTTTTTTTTTTTTTTTTTTTTTTTTTTTTTTTTTTTTTTTTTTTTTGTGCCTGAGTCTGAGCCGGTGGAGGTCTCGCGCCGGTGCATTTGCAAGTTGCAGGGCAAGACGCTCTGCGGCGCATGCGTGCTGAGGCGAAGGTTGGCAGACAGCGGGATCCCTTTTGCGAGTATTTCGTATAACGAATCGCTGGCTTGCTTAAAGCTCGCTGCGCAAGCTCTAGGATTCGCCGACGCGCGATCCTGGGGCACTCATGCGTTCCGCCGTGGATGGGCCACAGAAGTTGTGCAGGCCAATGGGCCGGCAGCGCTTTTCTATTCGGGAGGCTGGAGGGGCGTGACGGCCTTCGCGTACACTTCGGCCAAAGCCCGCGGCACGCTGGAGGAAGCAGAATTCTTTGTAGAATTCTCGGAGTCTTCTGGCGAGGACTGAGCGCGGAAAACAATCAGAGGAATTGCGTGTGCGAAATTGATTGTCGCTTCGCGGGCATACACGTGCACACGCACACACACACACACACCTGTGTGCATTGGGCTTCCACGTCTGCACAGGTTGTGTCTGTCCAGGATGCGATGTCCTGGGGTGCACAGGGATACTGGTGGCCTTCGCCCCAAGACATCGCCGGCCAGACGTGCGATTAGAGTGTGCCCTGTGTACGCACAGGAGCGCAAACCCACTCAGGGGATGGAGGAAGATTTTCTTAGCCCCCAAATCGCGAAGCGATTTGGGGGACAGGAAAATATGACGACGGAGCGTGTCATCATCCACTCCTCTCCTCTTGGCCTCTGGGGGCTTCTGGGGTTTGCGTTCGTGGCACAGGACCAATTAGTGACAGGCAGGCTTGTCTCACATGCCTGGTGCTCTCCTGAGGGAGCAAGCGTATCTGCCTTGCGTCGTGCTCCTGAGCAGCTATCCCTGCCTCACACGCTTGGCGGCTCCGCGGGAGCTGGCGAGAACTGTGATTGGGTGTCTGCTCCTCGTGGGCACGTGAGGCGCGTCGAAGGCTTCTGGTGATGGGAGCTCGTGGGTCTCTCGTCGCTGGTGCTATGCTGTTCAAGGTTGAAGGCTTGCTCGTGGGCCCTTCGTCGCCGGTGCTACGCTGTTCAAGGTTGAAGGCCAATTGCACCTGCAGGTAATTGTTTATTCCTGGTGCCGCTGGGCGCCATCCTGCACCGCCGAGTGCTGCAGTGTCGGCTGCCTGTGGGCTGCTTCAATTCCCAGCCCTCCCGCCCTCGTGGGTTATGCGCTCTCTGGCCGGGATACGGGTGGCCTTCGCCCCAAGACATCGCCGGCCAGACGTGCGATTAGAGTGTGCCCTGTGTACGCACAGGAGCGCAAACCCACTCAGGGGATGGAGGAAGATTTTCATCGCCCCAAAATCTCGCAGCGATTTGGGGGGCAGGAAAATCCTGGGAGCGGGCCCCTTGGTGGCCTCTTCCCCTCGGGGCCTCTGCGGCTTTCAACGCTCGCTCTCACTGCTTGGCAGTGCCCTGGCGGCGCGGCGGACCTTTCTCACAGTCGGTGGCCGCTGGCCGGCGGATTTGGCGGTGCCACGCCCTGCCTCCTTCCGCTTGTCTTCCGCTTCTGTTGCTGGCGGCTGGTTGGTGATTGATTGGCAGGCTTCTCGTCCCAGACTGCCCCGCGTGCCCGGATAGCACCTGTGGCAGTTGCTGTTCGCTCTCGCCCTGGCGCCGGCTACCGTTCATACGCCTCAGCGCTGGCCACCCCATGGTTCGGCTGGTGTGTCGCTGGTGCTCTCGTCGCCACTCTGAGCCCTGCCCGTGCTCTCGTTGCCACGGGTTGGGGGTTGGCACTGCTCGCGCTTGTCTCCCGTTACCCGCCCTCGTCCTCCCTGTGGCGCTGCGCGCAGGTTAGCGTCGGCGCCCCTGCCAGGCGGGCCATTGGAGAAGTCCAGATTGGGCCAACCTGGCGGCGCCTCTTGTCCCACGTGCCCAACGGTGGCGCGGGGGCGCCAACCATTAGCATTGCTCCGGGCGCGGTTCAACAGGATTTTCCTTGCCCTCCGCCGCCGCAATCGTCGCACAGTAGCCGAAGTCGCCGCGAAGATGGCCAAAAACGATGGGCCCCTCATCTTGCGATCGGCTGCCTGCCCGCCCGCCGCGAGCTTCTTGGGGATCTTGCCCTCTTCGTCATTGCCTGTGCCGGCCTCCTGTGCGGCCGCGATGCAGCCTTCTCCCGTTCCGATGCGGTACTTCGCGTGCTCCAGCGCTTCCGTGTCCGAGATGGCCTTGTTGTCCGACAGCGCGAATTCGGCGAAGGGCACGATCGCGTCCTGCTTGCCTTTGTTGTCGCTGACCTTCTCAGCTTCGCAGAATGATTGCGCCGGGCGAGTACGGCGAGCTTCGCGTCCCCCCTCGCTCTGGTTTCAAAAACACCAGGACGCGCTGGCGCTGCAGATAGATCACCTTGGAAGAAGGCTAGAGACAAGGTGGCTGGATAGTTCGTCTTTCGCATCGCCCTCGAATTCACAGCGTAAGCAATGATGGCTTCAACGCGGTGCATCTGGATGTGGTCTGAGCCGCGCCTGGAATACAATAGCCAGATCTTTCATCATGAAAGGCCGCCGATCTGGGATACGAGAACCTGATGCAGCTGATGCATCCGTGATGATGAAGAACGGGTTCGAACGCAACGAGCTCCATTCGCACGTGATTCGGTGTCCCTCGCGTTTGAACTGCTGCCCCGCGTTCTTGCATATTGTTGCGGTGTTCGCGCGCGAACGTGCCCGCGCCAAAATTTGCTGCGCGCTCCGGAAGCTTTGCTGCGACGTCCATGCGCAAAAATATGCCGCGGCCCCCAGGTTCGCGAAGGCGCTCCGATCCCGGGCGACATCTCGCGTGGCCTCGCACGGGGGAAGTCTGGCGCTCTCGTCGGGGCCAGCTGCGTCAAGTTTGGGGAAGCCCACGGAGTAGGCCGACCGCCCGGCAAGTGTGGGCGGGCGTCGAAAAGGAACGCGCCGAACAGTTCCGCGAGCAATTGCGGGTGGTGGTCTGGCCGCTTTCCCCAGGATGGATGCGCGATCCACTGTCTGGCGTAGGGTTCGCGCGAGGAGGGGGGGGGGCGTCGGATCTTCAAGTCATCTTGAAAGATAGATAAACTGGCAGCGCGGCCCCAGTCGGAAGTGGCAGCCTCGTCGCCCAACGCCGCCCGACCCAGACGGGCGAGGCCGTCGTCTAGGATGTCATGATCCAAGTGCGCGGGGGGCATCCGAGGCCCGAGAATGGCGCGTTCTGAAAGTAGCTCATGGATGCGCTCCAGCGCCAACGCGCAGCCGAATACGTGAGACTCCAGAGGCCAGCGAGCGGGCGCAATCCCCTGCGAGCTGCCGAACGTCGACGAAGCGCCACCGAATGCGCCGGGTCGCGTTGTGGGCGCCCCATAATCGAAGTGCACGAAGAATTCAAGTTTCGGAATATCCCAAGCGAAACCAACGCGAAGTAACGCCGAGTCGAGTTCCCTGTCCGTCATCTGAAACTTGTTGAGAAACGTTTGAGGTGAGTCCCCCAGGCCTGCAATCTCAATCGCACCCAAATCGTCGGCGAGCTTCTGAAGCGACGCATCTACGCCCCAATCGCCCCAATCCCCTACTAGACACTTAGACGCGATGTCCGAATCGTGCATCTCCCTCTCATGCCGCAGCACTGGGGACTTGTGGCTGCCCGGGCAGGCGGCCGCGGTGAAAGGGTCGCCCACGCAGCCCCCGGCAGTCAGCGGCCGAGACCAAGGTTAGCGCCTGCGCCCAGGAGGCGCTGCCGGCAGAGAGCGACGTCGCCCGCCGCTGCGTCTTGCGACGGCGCTTCCTCCAGCGATTCGTGCGACGCCGGAGGCGCTGGCGCTGAGGCCCTTTCAGCAAACGGCCAATGAATGCCGCGTTCCCGAAGCCGCCCGCGTGCCGCTCGAGAGCGCGGCGCCGCCCCTCCCGCCTGCCCTTCGCGAAGCCGCGGTCCATGATTGCCAGGGGAAATTCCATCTTAAAACTGAAATATCCATCTCCCACGCCCGCTGGAACGCGCGCCGCCCGTCTCCCCGCGGGCCCTGCATGGGCCGACTTGCGCAAACCGCGCGCTTGACTGCAGCGCCCGCGCAGAGAGGTCTGCTTGCGCGCGCGGGTTTTAGCTGGGGCCACGTTCAGATAGACGGTAAAACGCAGCGCGCCCGGCGGCCCCGGGTCGCGCGCTCGCGAGGCCAGCTGTTGGAGCAAGGTTGACCCCGGGGCGTCGGGGGAAAAGAAGGGCGCGCGCCATAGCTCCCGCGGAGATCGCGATCCGCTCGTAAGGGCTCGCAATCGC